TTTTGAGACAGAGAGGGTCAGAGAGAGGGAGACACAGAATCCGAAACAGGCTCCAGGCCCCGAGCCGTCAGCCCAGAGCCCGACGCGGGGCTCGAACTCACGGACCGCGAGATCGTGACCTGAGCTGAAGTCGGCCGCTCAACCGACTGAGCCACCCAGGCGCCCCTAGAGCATGCACCTCTTGATCTCAGAGTTGTGAGTTTCAGGCCCCACGTTGGGCATCGTGTTCACAAATTAAACAAACAACTCCGAATGTCTTCACAACCATATGAGGGAGGTGTTGTGAATTACACCCATTCCGCTGGAGAGGAAACCGAGGTGCAGCGAGGTTAAGTGACTTGGCCAGTGGTACCAGGATTCTAACCCAGCTCCTAACCACTGAACCACACTGCAGCGTGCAAGTGGGCAGAGGAACAAGTCGTAGGGAGGACGTTGAGACCCTTAGTCTGGGCGTGAGAGCATTGAGATAGAGGAGGTGTAGCTGGAGGACCATGCGGGGCTTTTCTTTCGTTCGTTCGTTCATTCATTCATTTTTTTAATAGAAGTGGCTTGAATGTGTTTAGGACCCCATGGGAAGGATCCTGGGCAGAGGGAGAGGTTGAGGTTGAGTTTACAGGCAGGAAGAGGATGGTGTGAGCTCCCGAGAAGACAGGAGATGGGGTCCAGGGTGTAGGTGGAGGCACCGGGCGGAGGAGGGGGAGACAGAGGCCAGGTCCTCTGAGAGTGAGGCTGGGGTGGGGATGGGGGCCCAGGAGGGTTGAAGACAGTGAGAAGATCTGAGATAGTGGAGAAAGTGAGTTCCCTAGAGAGGCCTAGGCGGGTTGTGGGGCGGTGGGCGGGGTGGGGGGGGCTCTCAAAGTTGATGATTACAGGGTCTGTCGATCTGTCACGCACCTTGTCTGCCTGGGGAGTGACATGCTCTATCAGCGCTTGGCTGCTTTGCAGGCAGTGAGAACACTGTTAATTGGGTTTTTGCAGGTGTGGGCCTTTCCTGGCAGGTGCAATGGAAAGGCAGAGGGCATGGGAGTTTGGCTTACAGCCGAAGCTCACCCGGAAGTAAGGAAGCATCGTGCGGTCCCAGCAAGCCGAGCTGGGGCGTGAGTGAGGAAGTGGAGAATGGAAGGGGTGGAGGGTGAGGGGCAGGGGACCTGATGCACTGGACCCAGGTCGTCACCGTCACCGTCCACAGGTGCTGGGAAGCAAGCTGGAGTGGTCCAGCAGGGGCTGCCGAATTGGTGACTTTGGAGGCGGGGCAGTTATGGTGATGCCACAGTCCACGTGGTGGCCGTGTAGGAGGAGAAATGGAGGGAAAGGTCCCAGGAGAGGTGTTTGAGAGTTGAGAAGTCACGGTGCTGGAGGGGGTGGTCCCCGATGTCCAAGGCAACTGGGGTGATGCAGGGATGAAACTCATTTTCAGGAAAAGGCAGGACCTGGAGGCCAGCGGATGACGAGGTCAGCAGTGGGGGGAGTGGTATAGCCCTAGGGCCCGAGCCCCGGGGGCACAGGGTTGTCCAGTTCTGTAAGCAACTTAGGGACCCCAGAGGATCCTACCCCACCCTTGGGCCCAAGGAACATGGGATGTGAGAAGAGAAATGGTCACTGAGAAGAGCACAGAGAAACGGCATCCTTGGGTGCAAAACATAGGGGAGGGGGGACCCCTCAGGGAAGGAGCTGAGCCTTTAGGGGCGCAGGCTGGTTTGGGAGGACTTCTGAAAGGGGTGGGGGAGGGCTGGGTCGGGGGAGCAGCACAGGGCCTTGAGGGGATGAGGGTAGAGAGGATTGAGGGGCAGGCATGCGGGTCTTGACCGATGCAGACAGGATCTGGTGACCTGTTCTCATCTGTCACTCTGGGATGGTCAGGGCTCTCGTCCTGGTTTGGGGTCCTGTGTGGCTGGGGAGTTGGCAGGCCCAGAGACGGCAGGGATTACCCCAAGCTCTGTGGGCTGCCCTGATGACAGAGTGACTGGACCAGATTTGTATTTTACAAAAAGCACTCGAGGGGCGCCTGGGTGGCTCGGTCGATGAAGCTTCCAACCTCGGCTCAGGACATGATCTCGCGGTTTCTGAGTCAGAGCTCCGCGTCGGGCTCTGTGCTGACAGCTCAGAGCCTGGAGCCTGCTTCGGATTCTGTGTCTCCCTCTCTCTCTGCCCCTCCCCCATTCATGCGCGCGCACGCGCGCGCTCTCTCTGTCAAAAGTAAATAAACATTAATTAAAAAAAAAATAAAAATAAATTAAAAAAAAAAGAAAGGTTCAGGGATGCCTGTGTGGTGAAGTCAGTTGAGGGTCAGACTATGGCTCAGGTCACGATCTCACAGTTTGTGAGTTCGAGCCCTACGT